AAACAGCTAAGTACAAAAACAGTTCTTCCCCTGGTTCTGGATTGGAAAGAACCGGAGCTGTGGTCAGGTACTTCTTTAGGTCGGTTAGAGCGGCTTCGCATTCTTCTGTCCACAGAAAGTCTGTGGCTTTTTTCACCAAATTGAAGAAGGGTCTGCATTTATCTGAGCTTCTGCTGATGAATCTGTTTAGGGCTGCAGCCCTTCCAGTAAGCATCTGAACCTGTTTTGCTGACGTCGGGCTCTGCAGCTCTAAGATGGCCTTGATTTGGTCTGGGCTGGCTTCTATGCCCTTTCTTGTTACCAGATACCCTAGGAACTTACCTGATCCAACTCCAAACGCGCACTTTGATGCGTTGAGTCGGAGCCGGTATGTTTTGAGTATGTCAAAGATCTCTTTTAGGTCGGCAAGATGTCCCTTAGATTCTTTGGTCTTCACGACCATGTCATCAATGTAGACTTCTACCGTTTTGCCAATCATGTGCTTGAACATTTTTGTTACTAACCTTTGGTAAGTTGCTCCTGTGTTTTTTAACCCAAAAGGCATTACCTTGTAACAGTACAAGCCTTTAGGGGTGATGAACGCAGTTTTCTCCTCGTCTGGTGGATACATGGCGATCTGGTGGTACCCCCTGTATGCATCCAAAAAACTCATCATTTCGTGTCCTGAAGTCGCATCTACTAGCTGGTCAATCTTTGTCAAAGGAAAGCTGTCTTTGGGGCAGGCTTTATTGAGGCTGGTGAAGTCTACACAGACCCTCCATTTACCGTTCTTCTTTTTCACTACTACTGTGTTGGACAGTCATGTCGGGTAGTGAACTTCTCGGATGGCCCTGGCTTCCAGAAGTTTGTCTACTTCCTCTTCTACTGCTTTGACGTGCATCAACATCGGTCTTCTGGCTCGTTGAATTACAGGTTTTGCCGATCTGTCGACATTCAGTCTGTGGCAAGTGACCTCAGGGTCAATGCCAGGCATTTCATAAGGTGTCCAGGCGAATACCCCAATGTTGGCTCTTAAAAAATTTTCCAGTTCTCTTTTCTCTTCTTCGTCTAAGCCTGAACTGAGAAGAAAGAAACGTTCTTCGTCGCCCTCTTGGACTAGGATTTTCTTTAGTGTTTCTTCACTCTTTTCGGTTGGCTCCTTACCGACATCATCTAGGACCTCTATGTCCTCGTCTTCAATCTCTGCCTCCTTTAGCTCTCGAATGTTGCAAGTGGACTTTGTTGCTGCCATGGAGCAACTTTTTGCCTGCAGTTGGTCTCCTCTGACTTCTTCAATTCCATGCTCTGTGGGGAACCGAAGTAGTTGATGCAATGTTGAGGGAACTGCCCCCATTGCGTGCAACCATGGTCTTCCCAAGATGATGTTATATGGTGAGGGTGTGTCAATCACCATAAATTCTGTCTTGATCTTCTTAGTACCAGCTTGTACCTCTATGCTTGCGGCGCCCAGTGGCCATGTCGGCGTTCCATTGAAGCCGACCATAGGATTGTTGGATTGTTCCAGGTCGTCAGGATGAAGGCCCAGCTCCTTGTAACATCTGACATACATTATGTCACAAGAGCTGCCTTGATCTATTAGGATGCGTTTTACTTGGCATTCCCCAACCTGGAGGGATACTACCAAGGCATCATTATGCGGATGCTGGACCATCTCTAGGTCGGCCTCAGTGAAGGTTATCATTGGTCCTTGGCTTTTTTCAGGCTGAGGTCTTTTTTCCCCTATTTGGTAGACATGCTGTAAATGCCTTACTCTCTGGGTCTCTCCTCTGACTTCATTCTCGTTGACCCTTGAGTGGATCACGTTAACCACCCTTGGCCCTCCTGCTTGTGGTTGCTGTGCTGGAGGTGGTGGGGCTACTGGTGCTTGAGGCAATCTTGCCTGTTCTTCTTTTGTTCTTGCCTCGTCAATAAGGTCCCTCAGATGACCTTGTCTTACCAAGTCTTCTAAGTGTGCTTTTAGGGCTCTGCAACCCTGAGTTGAGTGCCTTTCTTCATTGTGGTAAGCACAACGCCTACCAACATTTTTTCCCATGAATTTCCCTGGTGTTCGCACTGGAGTTCTGAAATAGGGCTGGTTTCGTATCTGATCCAATACTTTATGGATAGGGATTCGGAATACTGTCGTCACTGCCTGTTTACCCCTTAATTCTGTTTCTTGCTTGGTCGGTCCGTTGTTACCTCGGCTTCGCTTTGGCGAGCCGTTTCCTTTCTCCTGCTTTATCTTTTTGTTTCCCGATGTATCTTCCTCGGCTCTGGCGTACTTCTCAATTCTTGCCATGAGTTCTTCTATGCTTTTTGGCAGTGTTTTTGCCAAAGACTTCCGTAGTGGGCAGTCATCTTTAAGGCCGTTCTTGAAGGATACGACTGCCACTTCTTGATTGCATTCGGGTATTCGATTGAACACCTCGTAGTATCTCTTTGCGTAGGCCCTAAGGCTTTCTTCCTTGGTAATTCTTAAAGCCATCAGGGCGTCGACCCTCAGGGGCTGTAGTTTGTTCGTCACAAACCTGGCCACGAACATCTCGGCCAGGCCTTCCTATGTCTTCACGTTTCCCTTTGGTAGTTTATGGAACCAATCGGATGCAATTTCCCCAAAAGTTGAGGGAAATACTTTGCAGAGTAATGGCTCGTTCCCTCTGTATAATGCCATTGAGTTCAGGTACAGTCCAACATGAAAGTTGGGGTCTGACTTACCATCATAAATTTGGAACCTTGGCATACTGAATCTTTTTGGTGCTTCAAATTTGTCGAGTTCCACCGAGAATGGTGTTCTCGGCTTAACTTTTGAAGTCACCTCGGCTTCAGCATTCTGCTACTTCCTTTTGAAGTAGTCCCTTAAGTCTTCCTTACTCCTACCTGGAGCTCGGCTATCTCTGGACTTCAATCTTTTTGGCACACTGCTTTCGGCCTCGTGGTGGGCTCGTTTTGATCTTTCTCCATAGGTTGTGTCGAAGCAGAGTGCTTGCCCTTGAACATGACGATGTTCTTTAGGTCCTGGATCCCTTATGCGATGTGTCCTTTGGGACTCTCCCTGTCTTGGTTCCTCTCGTCCGACCTCCCTGGAACGTCGGTGAGAGCGGTTTCCACTCCTGGTGTGCTGAGGGGCTTCGGGGATTTATTTTCTCCCTCCCTTCTGGGTGTTAATTGCTGGCATCGGTGTATCTTGCAATGGGTATGGTGGCTGCATAACATTGTTTTGCATCATGAAGTTGACGACGGACTGAAGGTCTGCCAGCTTGTTTGCCAGGTCTTTTACTTCCTCATCCCTTCGTAGGCACCTATCCCTCCAAACCTGAAGGTTATCTTCGTTATAGTACTTGCTTTGGTCTGTTCTTTTTGAAGCGCCGCCCTCCTGGCCGGCGTCTTTTTCTCCGTGGCCTTGGTCATGATTTTCTGTACCATGGTTGTCTCCTTCAATATCAAGATCAATTGGTCTGCCGCTCCCAGTAGGAGTGTTGCCCCCAATGTTTTCCCTTTCTCCGTCACTGGCCATCTATTCTTCTAAGATTCCCACAGACGGCGCCAAATTGTGTGGGTGATTTTCCGACCACACTGCTCGCTTAGTAACCAGCTGGAGAGCACAGGCAGAATAGATGGCTTCAGTAACCTGTAACAGAAAGAAAAAGGCTCCGGCGGTGGCTCTTCCACCCGGGGGCACTCCGACGATCAAGTCAGTATATTTCTCAAAGATAATCAAGTGCTAAACTCACAAGCTTGAATATAGAATTGTGTACCTTAGACCCATGGGGGTGCCTTTCTTTTATAGTTTACTCAATCCTAGTCTCACTAGAAGCTTGACTTCTATGGACTCCAATTCAATACTGACTTTAGATTCTTCAAGAGATAAAGATAAACTCCCTAAGAGTTTTATCCTTATCTTGGCTAAGTCTCCTCTTTGTCCTAGGACTCTTGTCTCTTATCTGCATATCTCGAATTTCGATATCTTCGGAGATAACCTCGGCAACCCCGAGATCACCTCGGCGTAACTACCATGATATGTGACACTTTGACTTATATGTCGGCTTTGTCATGCCACGTGTTGGTATCAAAGAAATATGTCCCCACACTAAATTCTATTTAAGTGACTTAAAAATGACGTTATTGTTACCAATTAGATGGCAGAAACATTAACATAAACAATTGAAATGATTATTTAGAATTAAATAAGAATTTCTTCATAAATGGAACGTGAATGTAAAAACACAATTCATTTGAAAAATAAACCAAATTAGAAGAACAAAATTTTGAGGTCTCCTTTGGCAACTATATATTTTAGTCAAAAAAATTAAAAAGTCACTATAAATTATCATATTATTTTTTTATTTTTTTACATATATTTTTGTAAAAAGTTAAAAAATTATTAAAATAACTTGTTTTCAAACGAGGCCATATTACTTTTTTTAAAAAAAAGTTTAATTTTTTTTTTGATAATTCAACATTCAGTCCATTGAATAACAATATTTATTTACGTAAATATGTAAACGTTCAATAAAAATTATATAAATTTATAAAAAGTGCAAAAATTTGCATTTTTTAATAAAGTATAAAAATATTAATTTATAGAAAGTGTGATTATTTTTTCAAAAATATGAATATTCACACTATTTTTTATATTTTTCAAAAAATTATAATATTTTATTAATTAAAAGTATGAATATTTATATTTATAATTTTCATACTTACTAGAAAATTCATACTATGTAAGAGAATAGATCAGAAATGAAGATAGGGTTGTCATGGGATTTGCCTTTGTGACTCTTGTAGCTGAAGTAGTTCAGGTAGTGTTGAGTGGCTCATGTTTTGGATGCTTTCAAATGGTTTTATAGGGGAAGTGAAATTTTCACACATTTTTATTTTACATAATTTCATATTTAATTAAGATTTTGTTTGATAAATCTGGTCAAGAAATTTTTAAAATTTTTAAAATTGATATATATTTTAAAAGTTATGAAATTTTAAAGCATGTTGACCAAAATAAATAAATAAAAAATTATCATAAAAAAAAATCTAATTTAAATATTATAAAAAAAATAAAAAAAAACTCCTAAAATTAGAGCGTACTTGCAGAGGATCAACGGAACAGGCGAAGACGCCATGATCAGCGTCATTGCTCAGGTTAGCCCTACAATTTCTATCTCATTTTTCACCATTCTCTCTCTCTCTCTCTCTCTCTCTGCATATATATATATATATATATATATGTATCTGTATGTAGATGTATGAGTGAGTGATGCATATTGCAATGTGAATTGATATCGGTGTATACGCAGGAGCGTCTACTTGGTGCTGCACTTGGAAGCATATTCACAGGATTTGTTGTTTTCGAGCAACGCCGAAGCATCTACAAATCAATTTCAGATAATCAATCTCAAATTCTTGCTCAAACTCAGGTAAATTCGACGACTAACATTGTTTTCGAATTGGAACCCTGGAATTGACAACTATTCGCTTTTGCTATATAGTTCATGCGATTTGTGTAGTGATTACTTCATCAATTTAGGGGCTTTCATTGCTTTTGATTTTTGTAATGTCTGATCTGGAATGAGCATGGGAAACGAGGATATGTGGAGCAAGCAATCTTTTGATTTTATGATAAAGGCTTGGTTTGGATCTTAGACCAGTTAACAAAAAAAAAAAAGAAAAAGAAAGTTTATGGAAAGTTCTTGTCAAAATGTGAACTTTATAGATCACTCTAGTTAATCAGTTGGTCAATTTTTCATCTCCCTCCTCTAAATTTTCAATAGAATAAAAATCTCATGCTTATTTATTTATTTATTTTTAAATCCTTAGATGACAACTGATCGTGCAAATAGATTCTAGAGCATTGATTTTCCTAGTCTTTTGGTGTTGGATTTTGAATGTGGGCTGTGATGAATGGTTTATGTAGTTAATAAATCATGAATATGAGACAATATATATGCCTTCAATGTATTTACAGATGTTGGAAGATGCATAATTTTGACATGAATGTAAAGTATATGATAACTAGAGAATCTAGTGTGCCGTTCCAGTGTCATTACAAATATTAATTCCATGTTCTCTCTGCATTATATTATATCCTAAAAGTTTCTGCTTTGAACTTCGTTCAGATGAAAGAATCTATTTTTGAAAAGAGATACCGTTTGGAGTTTGCATGCTTGTGGAACAAAGCTGTGGATCAGACATTAGGACCTATGATTGAGTCCCTTAGCTCGCGTGGGTGGTAGAAATGTTCGAGTATTACGACTACTGATATATGTATGTGTTCCTTCCATTTGTTAGTTTTGTAAGCAGGATAGCTTGCACCCCAATATTATCGTTCTACTTTTGAGCTGATTATATAAGGATTTTGTCCTTGGGATGGGAGCTTCATTATGAATAATACCCTTATAACAGTTTTTGATGTTCAACTGATGACCATCTGAGTGGAGATTCTTGATAGAATTTTTGTTTCTCTTACTGTGTTGTGAAACAAAACCATAGGTCTGTATTCTGTTTGCCAAACCCAGCAAACAAAACTGTCTCCCCTGTAGGCACAGCTTAATGAAAACAAAATGATGGATTATTGAACTATAAATCAGATGGTACGTAAAAAGAAAGAAAAAAAAAAAATACAGCCTAAGAAGTATAAGGCGGAGTCTAGTTAGGATGCCTCAACACACTCACTGTGAGCATATCAAGCAGGTTGAAGTTGAACACAATAACTTCGACTTAAATTGGCTTGACGAGTGACCACCCCATAGTAGACTCTCATTGCCAAAATCACCACAAATACGAAACCAAACACCATCCCGGCAATGGCACCTGCTCCCACTTGTTTCCCACCCATCTCCGGTCCTGTCGATTTGCTCTCATGTGCCAGCGCTGATTCCACTGTAACTGCTAGAGCCAATGGTGAGCAAATTGTTCCAGCACAAGGGTATCGGGTAATTGGCTGATCACCGTTAGTGTTTTGGTGGAAGAAATCAAATGCTGATGGTGAGAAAGCTGTGGGGTTCTTATAAGCAAACCCGTGTGGAGCTCGATCTTGAGCCCTAGTAATTGAGAGAAGTGAGGAGGAAAGAAGAGAATAGATCAGAAATGAAGATAGGGTTGTCATGGGATTTGCCTTTGTGACTCTTGTAGCTGAAGTAGTTCAGGTAGTGTTGAGTGGCTCATGTTTTGGATGCTTTCAAATGGTTTTATAGGGGGCCCTAGTCAGAAGTGGTGGTTGCTTGCAGTGGAATTTTAGTGATGTGATGATATTGGAACATGTCAGAAGGTAAAATTGTACATTAGATAAAAAGTAAAAATAATATATCTTAATATATGTTAGATTCACTATTTACATATTTTTAGTTTTTACATACTCCAAATAATATATGTTGGTGTGGACTCTTGAATTATTAATAAGAAATTGAGCTGCTCATGAGCTCCTCAGTTCTCAACACATAAAACTGGTTGAGTGGGAACAAAATGATAGCAATGGGTTAAAATAGTGGTCTTCCAACACATAAAATTGGTTGAGAGGGAACAAAATGATAGCAATGGGTTAAAATAGTGGTCTCCAACACATAAAATTGGTTGAGAGGGAACAAAATGATAGCAATGGTGTGTCTACCTTAGGGTTAGGAGAATTAAGATTCTCTGCAATAATCCTAACTTGCAATATCCAGGGGTTGCGAATGACGTAAAAACCAAATGGCATTCACCAAATAGCATCGTAGCACAATTCATCTGTTTTTTTTAAACAGTTGATTATAACTACTTTAGTTCATAATCAGCATCATTTTATCTCATAACTGAAATCATTTTATACTATAATTAAAATTAAACCAATTTACCTAGTGACCACACATTTTACTCTTTACATAACTAAGATTGACGTCACTTTAATTTCACCCTCGCGTCAAGTTATAACCATCTTCATTTCGATTTATAACTAAGATTACTTTGACTCATACACAATTATCATCTTATATCTTCCTATTTGATGTGTGCAATTATAATGGCTAGATTTTTTTATTTTTAAATTTTGAAGAAATATATAATGGCTATACTATGTCAGCGGCCCATAGACATGATTGCAAGAGGTGCAAAAGCATGCTATATTAAAAGCAGGCAATCCAACCACTATTCTTCATCCTTCTTTCTTCCAATTTGTTTCCTCCCTCCACCTCCATGTGAAGATGGTGACACCTCTGTCTGTGTGGGATGTTGGTGTGAAGCCCATTTATCATTTGCACAAGATCCATATGTCTTGTCCTGTCTTTAGTTAATGCGCTTTCAGGGCTTCACATGTTAGGTACACCCCCTCCTCTTCCTCTCAGGATTAGAGTCACAAGAGTTGTCCATATAGGTTTTGAAAGTGCACATAAATTCTCCCTCCTTTTTTTCTTGTGCTTTGTATGTGGACCACCAAAGTCACTACTATAACCTTGTCTATGCAGGAGTCAATTTGACAAAATGTGAGACAAGTAATAGGAAAAGGGCAAAAAAAAATGATGACAAGTAGCTCTTTAAGAGCATCTTTAAATTTGTATTACGGTGTTATATGATAAAAAGTTATAAAATTTGAGTTTAAGGCTTGGTTTGGGAAGTGGGTTGGCTTTTTGGCTTTTTTGATTATTTTAGCCTGGGTTAAAAAGTTTGGTTTGGGAATGGCTTTTTGGCTTTTTGGACTTTTTTTGTGAGAGAAGAATGTAATGATTATGGGTTGGATGTGATGTTTTGTTTGTTATGGCTAAAATAGCCTATTTTATTTTTTGTGGCTAAAATAGCCAAAAAAGCCTGAAAACTAACTTGCCAAACAGAGGCTAATTCTGTGTGCTTAGTATTTATTAATTTAGTGCTCCGATGGTGTAATTAGAATGTGGTTTGAGTGAGTATTAAAAAATAACAAGTAATAAAAGTGGGGAATGTGCTAGTTGCCTCTCTCCTTCCAGCTATCTACAAGCCTCTTCACCGTTAAACATTTGACATAACAAAAGTTATTGTCAATAACTAAACTGACATGCCATTCTCTCTCTAGCTTGTTAGGAGTCTTTCCACAGTTGACATTTGACATGACAAAAGTTATTGCTTGTAGTAACCAAACTAACGTTACCATTGAAAGGGAAAAAAATTCAAAATTAGATATTTTCTTATTTTTTTAGGGTATATTGTACTTTCACTCCTATAATTTGACTCAAATTTTATTTTTGTCTTTATTATTTTAATTTAAACAATTTGATAGCTACACTTTAAGTCTAATTGCAATTTGGTACTTTCGTCTAATTTTGTTAATTTTTTCTACTTGTATATCTCTGGAGACTAATAAATTGTTAATTTTAGCTTCTAATTTGAATGAAAAAAATCAAATTGAAACTAAATTTAAAGTGTATGAATCAAATTATTTAATTTGAAACAATAAGGGCAGAAGTGAAATTTGAGTCAAAATATAAGGGTTAAAAGTGTAATTCACCCTACTTATTTTTTTTTGTTTTTTTTTTGTATTTAAAAATATATATAATAAGTACTACTATAAAATTATTATTTTCTTCTATACCTCTCAACCGTTGAACTATCTATACTGGTTAGTAAAGGGTATTTTTTTTAAGGTCCCTGATATTATGATTTTATAGTATAAAGGACATCAAATATTTTCATGATGTCTAAGGTCCCTCAACATCAATCCTGAGAAAATTAGTCTAGAGAAAATTGGTCCAGAGAAAATTCAAGTCAGAGAAAATTGGTCTAGAGAAATTCAAAATTTCTCTGCCTCCTTAGCCTTTCATGGACACTGCCAGAGAAATTTCCTTCGCCTTTCATGGACTCCAGAGAAATTTAAAATTTCTCTGCCGTGGGTTTGATCCTCCACCATTGTTGCTACTGACAGTTCAGGAATTTTTTTTTTTTTGATGAAGCAGTGTGTTTTTTACCATTAAAATATTAACTATTTTTTTAAAGGTAATAAACAGAAGAATATTTTCATGGTACTACATTTATACACATGCATACACATACCCTTACATACACACTTAAATTATGGCAAGTGTAAGATACATACACGTAGGTATTGAGTGAGCAAAAATTATATGTTGCTTCAAAGTCATAGCTAGAAGGCTCTTTTCTAAGAAAACAGAAATACAAATAAGTATTTTTTAAGAATCGAACTGGATATAAAAGCTGTATTTTCAATCATATAGCTTTCTTCAGGTCAAATAAATAAATAACAATAATCAAGCTTTCTTCAGGTCAGAGATATTGGTCCAGAGAAAATTAATCCAGAGAAATTCTGGACTTCCAAAGAATTTCTCTGGGTTCAACCCAGAGAAAAGTTTGACCAATTTTCAAATCAGAAAAAATTGATAAATTCTGGACTTTCCAAGCCAGAGAAAATTGACTTCACCAATATTGAGTGTCTTCAGCATCTAAGCACTTCCCTTTACCTTCTTGGAATCATTACCATCTTTCATATGTGAGCTGTCCTTGCTCCAAAACTTTTCTTGTAGGCCATTGTTTCGCAAAGTTGCATCATAGGTCTCAACAAGTGCTCTCTGCTTCTCAGTATCAGGACAGAGTCCAGCCAACTCAATAACAAGATGTGACAAGCCAAACTGATTCACATAACCTACATAAGTCTCTGCATCCATCAAGCCTTGTCGATATTCTCCTTATATATCCTTAAATGCACTGTACTTCGCTTCATCAAAATCTAGAGCAGATCGTATTCTTTCTAATCGATCGGTGTTTCAGATCGGAGAGAGAGAGAGAGAGAGAGAGAGAGAGAGAGAATGCCTTCGCACGCGGATCTAGATCGGCAGATTGAGCACTTGATGGAGTTCAAGCCTCTAACGGAAGTTAAGGTCCAGACGCTTTGCGAGCAAGCTAGGGCTATTCTAGTTGAGAAATGGAATGGGCCAGATGATGAAGATTGTAGAAATGATTGAAATTTCTTTGATATATGTTTAGGGACCTTAGACATAAAAAAATAATTTTGTGGATCTCTTTCATTACGAAAAGTGAGAGAGGGACCCTAGACTAATTTTCGGTTAGTAATTCTAATATTACAATTAGAAAGTTATCACTATTCATAAAAAAAAATATTAAAAAAATAATATACAAATATTATTACAAATAAAAAAAAAGCCCCAAGATTAGACATTCCGTGATGGTGGAGTCGGTGACCGGGGAAACCAAAAAATTATAGTAAAATATTCACTAAATTAGATGGTAAAGCTGGGCCCGTGGGGGCCAACCATGGGCCCCGTTTTGATAATCTGAACTGTTCAATATGTAGAACTAGTCTAATATTATATGCCTGTAAAAATCACGTTTATCGGATATCACTAACTACATGATCAAATCAGTTTTGTATAAAAATAGATGATATTATAGTTAACAGTTAACAAAAAAAAACTAACACGATCAGATAGCTATCGATATCCAATCAACATGATTTTTTACAATCATGTAGTACTCGACGAGTTCTACACATTGAACGGTTCCGATTAGAAAAACGGGACCCGTGATGGCTCCCACAGGCCAAACAACACCATCAAACCAAAGCCCAAGAAGTAGACAATAATTTCTCATCTACTCACCCAACCAGTCACCACTGCCATTCTGTACGGCTCCTACCCTATCTTCTCCTACACACTTATTTATACAATTTTTTAATACACATTTTTTTCATAAGAAGTCAAAAAGTTAATTCAAACATCCATATTTTTTTTCTCAACTTTTTAATCCAAAAAGATAAAAAGTGCACTTATTTAGGACACCCCAAACAACCCTTAATAAAGAGTATCAAATTTCTCTTTGGGGTCGAATTATACTAACAGTCTCTATAGTTTGGGGCTCGTGTCACTTTAGTCCCTGACTTTTCAATTGTGATACATTTGATCCTAAATTTTGAATTTTGTTCCAAATAAGGACAATTGAAAATATTATTGTTTAATTTTAAGGGCAAAATCATCAATTTGATAAAATATAAACTAATTTGATAAAAATAAATGCCAAAAAAATATTTTTAAATTTTTAAAAATTATTTCTATCCACAAAAGATAAAATTATGTAAAATTGATAAATCTTCTAAACATTTATTTATTTGACCAAATTAATTTTTATTATGTGTTTGGATAATAATTATGTAATGGGTGATTATTAGAATTTAATGTGTAATCGATGTATTTAATATATGAAATGTTTTTAGTTTTGAATTTTTTAATTTAATGAATTGGTTTAGTAATGATATGAAGTTGTCGTTATATTTGACTTTTGAAAAAATAGAAACTAATTTAATGAAAATAAAACAACCACCCATTATATGATTATCATTCAAACACATAATAAAAATTAATTTTATAAAATATATATATAAATAAATGTCTAAAGATATATCAATTTTACAAAATTTTATCTTTAGTATGTAGAAATAATTTTTAAAAATTCAAAAATATTTTTTTGATATTTATCTTTGTGAAATTAGTTTATATTTTATCAAATTGATAATTTTATCCTTACAATTAAGCTATGGTATATTCAATTATTTTTATTTAGAACATGATTCAAAATTTAAGATCAGATATGTCACAATTAAAAAGTCAAGAAATAAAGTGACAAAAATTTTAAATTATAAAAACTGTTAATGTAATTTGTCCTTGTCTTTATAAGAGCTAAAACTATGACTTCATACTACAAAAGTGATACACAGTAAGATAAATATCCTGATTTATCTGTACAGGTTGAATACTAAAGTTGTGTCTTAAGGATGATTCCAAATGAAGGATGCTTCTGGAAATTTTGTAATTTAGGAATAGAGTCACATCAATTCCCAAACATCTCTCCCATATTGATATGTTTGTCCAAGGGCTATTGATCATATACAGTAAAGTTTTTGAGTTGTCTCCAATTTTTGACGATTTAAATTATTTATTTTATTTAATTATGTGTGTAAATTATATATTAAAAAAATTAAATTTATGTAATAAATATATATATGTATATTTTTTGACGATTTAAATTATTTATTTTATTTAATTATGTGTGTAAATTATATATTAAAAAAATTAAATTTATGTAATAAATATATATATATGTATATGTTTTGATGATATTTGTCTATAAAAAATAGGCGATATAGTTATTTATTTTTATAGAAAAATTTAATAAAATTATGAGATGATTATCGGATTAGTATGATTTTTTTAAGAATTATTTATCTGCATAATCAAATAAAATAAATTATTTAGATTGTGGAAATGGGATTGGTCAGTTCTAAAATATTCTACAACACCAATGCACTGTAGTCTAGACACGAGTGCATTCTTATACAAAAGTCCAAAGGCAAAAACCCACCTTCCCCCATAATTTAAGGAAAAAAATTCCATCATCAAACCGCTAAAACCTCACCAACTCAGCCTTAGAAAAATGGCTAAAATGGGATAAATTATGGAGAAGATAAGGTGGATTAGCTAACCCATCATAAAAAAATGACCCATGAAAGAGGAACATCCAACTTTTTAAAAGCTCTATTGACCTAATCTAATTTTTTGTTCCTTCTCTTTCGCCACCTTTGCAACTACTCTGAATGACAAGGACTAATAAAAAAAATGCACAATTTTGATAATGAGTTTCTTTGGCTTCTAATAAATAACTATAGATTAGTACTACTAATTTAATATATTGAGGATAAGAAACAGATATATTAATTATTGAATTGAAAATGATATCCACATTAAAATAAAAACATGGAAGAATCATCTAGAGAAGAGAAGACCCTCATCCATCAATTGTTGTGTTTGTGTGTGTGAGAGAGTAGGAGGGAGGGCCTGCTCTAGATAGATCTGCAGTGGAAAAGAACCTTCCTCTAACCAAATAAATGTGTACATTTTTCATAATAATTTTGATTGAAGTTTTGTTTTATTTTATTTTATTTTTTTATTTTGGGGGAAAATAATGTGGACACTGAGAAATATAGTCGTTATTCACCAACCAGATGATCAGTTTTGATTGATCTTATATTTTTAGGCCTTACAAAAGGATCAATGGTAACCGGACCAAATTCAGTCAAGTTAGGTCAAAAAATTGAGATTTGAAACCAAGGTACAACCCATTTACTAATTGATTATTTATTTAAGGGGAAACATCATGAATACACAACACTCTAAGAAAATATAAAAAGATAAAAAGGGGTAAAAGAAAAAAGAAAATTGGATGATGATGATGATGATGATGATGATGACAAGAAAATCAAGAAAGGAGATAGATAAAGACAAAGTTGAAACAAACAGGAAATACAAAAGACACCAGAAGGAAATATTATCTACAATTCCAAGACCCTTTTTTCTCTTCATTATCAAATCACTTTTGTCTTGCTCAAAGGAACCTTCTCTTGTCCTTCCATTGTTATTCAAACTCCTCAGGCATTGCTTCTGAAGGATCCCAGAGCTTTAATAGCTGCTGCTCTCAGAATGAATTGGTGGTAGAATGCAGCAATGGCTGCCCCAACGAATGGACCGACCCAGAATATCCACTGCCAAAAAAAAAAAAAAACAAATTTACATACACACACATTTGTATATGTTTATGATTAATCAAATCCAATTATCAAAGAAAAAAAAGAAAAAAGAAAAAAAAAGTGAAAGTGTATAAGGGGATGTACATGATCATCCCAGGCCTTTTTCTGGTTGTAAATGACAGCAGCTCCGAAACTTCTAGCTGGGTTGATACCGGTACCAGTGACTGGGATGGTGGCTAGGTGGACCATGAATACCGCGAATCCAATGGGGAGTGGGGCCAACACCTTCATCATCAACATTACTACTCAGTTATTTATATGCTTAATTATATGGAAAATGTTTGGTGACTCGAATTTTTGTTGCTCGAATGTGTCAAAACGACGCCGTTTTAGGTGTTTTGAGCCATTCGAGTCATGATTTTTCGGGCCACCTAACATTGTTGCAATTATTATGTACATTTTGTAAAGATTCACAAGTACAATAAAAATCTAATATATCATCCATTTTTTATCATTATTTTGTTAGGACAATTTGGGTACGAGACAAACATACACCTCTCTCTAATTAATAAAAAAAAAATTACAATCTTTTTTATAGGAGTGTGATGTGATGAGCATTAGAAAAAAAAGAAGTTATTTATCATTGAATTTCTTTTGCCATCTTGTTTTACTTTTTATGTATAGTTATGTAATGAAAGTCGTGTGTGTCACGGTTGTTATATTTAAAAATAATGTAATGATTATTACATATTATTTGTTTTTTTTAAAAAAAAATCTTTTTATATTACCGGATTACTTGATAAGATTTTTTTTTATTATTAATCATCCCCAAATAAGTAAACTAATTATAAGTATCTATGTAGTATGTGATATAAAATGGAGACAAAAAATGTTAATAATATATAGTATTTCTTTTTAAAAATATTGAAACTCACTATATAACTACCTAACAAATAAAAATTCTAAGTAAATTGATTCACCAATATATATGGATTGTTTTAGAAAATAGGTTAAAAGTTAATTTTTTAACTTTTTTTTTTTTTTTTTTTTAAAAAACGTATAGAAAAATAAAGAAATTATGTGATTTGAAAAAGTCAAAAAATTTAAAATAGCCAAAGTAGCCAAAATCATACATAGGTCTTTAGGAAATGAATTTTTTTTATTTTATTTAAATTATTATTATTATAGTCAATGAGCTAGTGAAATGTTGTTTTCGGTGAGCTAGAGCATTTCATCAGTTTGGCAAATGTTAAAATCATATTTTTCATAGTGGGCCATTTGGAAAGAAAAATAAAAGATGTGTTTTGCAGCTTGTCAAAAAAAAATAAAAAGTTGACTTTTTTTGCATCAAAATTATTTGGAAAGGTAATTAAAAGTTACTAGTGAAATTACAATTATACCTTTCATATTTACATTTGTGGGCTAGGGCAAAATCCTTTGAGTAAAAGTATTTTGATCAGTTAAATGTGACGTGGCGTATAAACAAATATTAACAAAAAAAGTAAAAAAATAGTTTTTTATCAACTTTCCAAATGACTTTCTATAAAAGTCAAAAAACTTGATTAAAAGTCAAAAGTCGACTTTTAACTATCTTCTCAAAACACTTTAGTTTCTGTTGGGATGTTTTGGAGAGTAGGTTAAAGGTTAATTTTTTTTATTTTTTTATTTTTTTTTAAAAAAACATATAAAAAAATAGAGAGATGATAAAACTCAAAAAAGTCAAAAAAAAAAAAAACTAAAAAGTCAAAGTTGTCAAAATGGGCCATGGTACTTTTAATTTTTTTTTTATAATTTTTACATATTTTTTAATTTAATAATATTACAAATTCAAACTTAACTACTTAACAATTTTTCAGAATTATGATATTATAATTTAAATTTATTCTACATATAGATTTCACACTATATAAATTTTACTCTTTGCCACACAACTAATTTCCCAGAAAATTCATTTTCTGACTTTTCCTTTTTAATTTTTTTTTTAAGATTTGATTTTTCCTTTTTAATCTGAAGGCCCTAAAAAAAATTTAAAAAAATATTTGTCAAAACAGTTTTATGAGGCTTTTTTTGTTCCTACATATTTAAACCAACTAGTAGTATGATAATTATAAGGTGCTTACAGGAACATGGGAGTCTCGTGCGCTCCTCTTAGGGTCAGTGGCTGAGAACACAGTGTATACCAAAACAAAGGTCCCGATGATCTCTGCACCCAAAGCGGTCCCCTTGTTGTATCCTGGTGCGACCTCGTTGGCCCCACCACCGTACCTATCGTAGTATGCTCTCTGGAAAGCCTTCACCAACCCAACACCGCAGATAGCACCCGAGCACTGTGCTACCATGTACAACAACGCTCGGATGAGTGACACCTTACGTGCCAAGAAGAGCCCGAACGTTACTGCTGGGTTTATGTGCCCTCCTGCGCACGTCAGAAAAACATCCGCTGATTACCAACTTTTCATATAGAAAAATGCTTGGACTCCAATTCTTTTTTGACTCCACAATCCTCTTTCGATCTCAATTATTGGTGTATGTGTGGACACACACTATTAATGGTTGAGATTCAAAAAGAATTGTAGGGATTTTAAAAAAAAACGTCTCTATCATTATTATTTCATATATTGTAAAAGGAATAAGGAAAATGAGTAAGACCTCATATTTGGAAGACCCTCACAATTCTCAAAGTGATCCATACCACTCATGATGTGTGGGGCTCACATTATGAGTGATGTGGATCACTTTGGGAGTTATGGAAGTTCTCCAAAAAGGGAGTCTCTATCCTTGTTGAAGGAATAATTATAAGTTTAAGAATAAAAATTGAGAGATCTAATTTTTGAAACTCTAAAAAAAACTCTAGTGATGTAGTAAGGAGTGAAGCCACATATGATGTAATGTGTGTGTCTATATATATATATTTTTTCTCTTACCATATCACTAAAATTTTTTTTTTAAATTTCAAAATCAGAACTCTTTATCATTGTTTTTTTATAAAATACTTTTCTTATTTTGTAAACTTACTACTAGTATTTCTTGCAAAAGACTCGATTGCCCAATTCTTTATCGCATGCGTGCTACTTATTGGACCTATTTTGATAATTTTATTTTTTAAAGTTTTTTTAATAGATCATTTATAAGAAAAAGTTAATTCAATAATTGTAATTGTGTAATTGTATGATTGCATAATTTTTGTTTTGTAAATTTTTTCTATTAATATGTATTCTTAAGACACATTTAAAAAAAATGTAAAATAATAAATAAACGATAAATATAAATGACGATATAATATAATTAGGCGAGATGATATGATTATAAATGATTCAAATTTTAAAAAAAAACATAAGTAGGATGAGTCATCTTATTTTGAGTCCACATCAAAATATTTGACAATTCAATTTTTTCCCAAACTAAATAATTAGAAACATAAAAATTGATTACAAAATTAGACAAAACCCTTTTACATGAGATGAATCTTATTTTTTTATTAATCCCGCATAAATTCAGCCATATATTTTTGTGCAAGTAGAATAATTGTTGTTTACAAAGGTCAGTGACAATCTTAACTAAAAAAAACATGTATAATTATTAGGGTTTAAATCAGTAAAAAGGTAAATAATGGTTTTAGAAAGGACGTGTGTTACAGGCGGCTTCTAAAATATTATAGTAAGAGTTAGGTTATACTAACCAGAAATACCGGCGGTGCAGTAAACAAGGACGAAGATCATGCCGCCGAAGGCCCATGCGATGCCGAGGATGCCGACACCGCCACACTGGTCAGCGTTCTTGATGGGGTCAGTCTGGCTCTTGTAGCCGATGACGGTGAGGACGGTGATGTAGAGGAAGAGAAGTGTGGCTATGAACTCTGCAATGATAGCTCTGTAGAAGGACCATTTTGTCAGCTCCACCACGTCCACTAGCGGAGCTGGAGGTGGGTCGTGGTAGTCCTTGGCTGAGAACTCCTGCTCTGTTACTACTGTTTCCTCAACTTCCTTTGCCATTCTAACCTCAAAACAAAAGAGCCTGTGTGTGTAGAGAGAGAGAGAGAGAGAGAGAGAGAGTGTAGGATGTGGAAAGTGAGGAAGAGAGGGGTAGGTATTTATGGAGAGGGGAGAGAGAGAGGGGCAAAAATTTATAAATAAAAATGTTATAAATTTTAAATAAATTATTAAATATTATATTAAATTTTTTATAAGAATATGATCTATATATATGTAATTTATATAATAAATTTAGTAAAATATTTGATAATTCATTTAACAGATTTATAAAGCATACGTATGGATGAGGTTGTAATTATTTTTATTTTAAGGCCTCGTTTGGGAACAGGCTAATTTAGTAACTTTTTGGCTATTTAGCTAAAAAGGTAGGTAAAAAAAACTTGTATGTTTGGGATGACTTTTTGGCTAATTACGAAAAGATGTGCAAAAAGTAGAGAGAAAAGAGAATCTTTGACTTTTTAGTATAAGTTGTTGACTTTTTGACTAATTTAGTAACTTTTTGACTAATTGACTAAAATAACCTCTTGCGAAACGAGGCTTAAGTTTCGCCGCCCATTACAACCTAATATCGATTTAATTTCTTTGCTGGCATGGTCCACCACATCTTACCATTTACTAACGGCTCTCTCCTTTTCATAACGGACCTTTTTTCTTTTTTTTTTTTTAAGATATTTGATTAATTTTAACTTTTTTTTTGTAATTCTATACATGTTCTGCTTAATATAATTTAAAAAGTGAACGATTTAAATTATTTTGAAACAAGATTTAAAATGAAACTTATCAAACGTACAACATGCATAATAGTCAATAGCAGAGTCAGAAAATTAAATCATAAGGGCACTTATTAATTATAGGATAAATTATAAATACACCACTTGAGATTTGATTAGAATATGAATCACCCATGTGGTTTTAGAAATTACATTCACCTTTTGAGGTTTTTAATTTTATAACAAATCGTCCATTTTATTAATAAATTATGAAATCAATTAACTATTTTTAATGATGTTAGAAATATGTTTCAATTAATAATTTAAGTAATTTTATTATTTTATAGGAGAGCAATTATGAATTTCATTTTTTTAGTTAATTCTGTTAAATAAAAATTTTTGACAATGGGGGGTATTTATAATTTTTTAAATCACACGAGACAATCTGTACTTTAAACAAATTTCAAAGGATGTTTTTGTAATTTATCCTTAATTATAATATCAAAATTTTTTACAAAAATATTTCACATAAATTTTTGTAATTGACTTGAGAAAGATAAAAAAAAATAATATTATAAATTGAAAAAGTATAGAAAATTTAAAACCTTGAGAATTTATGGCAGTGGCCTAATGATGGACCAGGGATGGACCCAATGATATTACACAACAAAAAAAAAAAAAAATTTTCTCTATTACTCTTTTCATTAATTTTGATCACCAAAGATCTTCTAGAGTTTTTTTTCCCTAAAGTTTCCTAAAGTGGTGTGTTGTATGGGTGAGATTTAATGCTAAAAAATTGATATGACTTGTCATTAAATCTCAACCATACAATACACCACTCTAGGAAACTTTAGGGAAAAAAAACTCTAGAGGATCCTTGCTCGCCAGAGTAAGGCTCATAAGAAAATATTGTGGTTAATGGGTACATTATTACAATAATGTTATAATAACTATATTTTTATATTTTATTTAATTTATGTACATTTAGTAATTCTATCTTCAGATATACTTTAACAAAAGAGTATGAAAGTGATTGAAAATCATGCATCACTAGAGATTTTTGAGAGGGCATGAAATAACGGTCTCGCTAGGTAGCTCGAGAAAGTCGGGTCTCGAGTGACTTGACTTTGACTTTTCACATCTCTCTCTCCCATTTCCCTCCGTCCTCGGTTTCTTCTATTTTTCTTCTATATTTTCTCTTCTTTAGTACAAACAACAACTTTTCTCCTAATCTTCTCACTAAATTGGGTAAGTAACTCTTAGAGGCCTAATCGCATGAACCAAGATTTATAAAAGTCCAAGATGAAAATTTTTATGGTCCCAAAACCCAGATTTACCTAGTTTCCACTAATCTCAACACATGTTCACATTGTGTTAAAGAACCCAGATTTAGTAAAGTATTAAAGAAAAAAAATCCAAATTTACTTACAGAAAAAGAAGTTGATTCATTGATATGTTTCGTTCGGGATGATCTAGAAAACAAGATTGAACCAAACCCAAAATCAACCCACGGAATCAAAAAAACCAAACCCAAAATCAAGATCTAGCATCGGCCTTTCCTTCGGCCTCTCTGTCCATGGCGATCTCCATCCTTGGTTCCCCCACCTGCGCCGATCATTGTCTCCTCTGTGTATACACACAGATCTGTGTGTATACATAGATCTGTTCTTTTCTCTTTTTTTCTTCTTCTCTTCCTCCTCATTCTCTCCTTCTTTTCTTATTCTTCTCTTCTTTTTCTTCTGTCTGTTTCAGAGAGAAAACAGAAGGGGAAGAGGAAAAAAAAAAAAAAACTACCAAAACGACGTCGTTTTGGGTAGTTGAGCCATTCGGGCCAATTTTTTTGGAGCTACCAAGCTTTATTCATGAAATAATTGATTCACCTTCATAGTATTTTAAAAATAGGAAATTACTCACCGGTGGTATGTCAAAAAATATATTATTAAAAATTGATAAATTTTATATATATTAATAATTAAAATCATAATTATAATATCGAAGGGTGTATTTTTTTGTAGGCCCCCATTTGTAATTAAAATATATGTATGATTTTTGTAATTAAAATCATAATCATAATTAAAATATATGTATTTTTTTTGTAGGCCCACATTTTTATATATGTCAAAAAATAGGAAATTACTCACCTTCATGAAACAATTTTTTTTAGGCCCCCATTTGCAATTTTTTAAATCACACGAGACAATCTGTACTTTAAAAAAATTTCAAAGAGTGTATTTGTAATTTTTCCTTAATTATAATATTGAAATTTTTTACATAAATTTTTATGATTAACTTTCTGAAAGATAAAAAAATAATATTATAAATTGAAAAAGTATAGAAAATTTAAAACCTTGGCCTAATGATGGACCAGGGATGGACCTAATGATATAAATTGTGCAAAAAAAAAAAAAAAAAAAAAAACACCAAAAGTGTGCGAGAGCGGGGCTCATAAGAAAATATTGTAGGTAATGGGTATATTATTACAATAATGTTATAATAACTATAATTTTATATTTTATTTAATTTATGTAAATTTAGTAATTCTGTCTTCAGATATACTTTTACAAAAGAGTATGAAAGTGATTGAAAATCATGCATCACTTGAGATTTTTGAGAGGGCATGAAATAATGGTCTCGTTAGGTAGCTTCGTTAGGTAGCTCGAGAAAGTCGGGGCTCGAGTGACTTGACTTTAACTTTTCACCTCTCTCTCTTCCATTTCCCTCCGTCTTCGGTTTCTTCTCTTTTTCTTCTATATTTTCTCTTCTTTAGAACAAACAACAATTATTCTCCTAATCTTCTCACTAAACCGAGTAAGTAACTCTTAGAGGCCTAATCGCATGAACCCAAATTTATAGAAGTCCATGATGAAAATTTTTATGGTCCCAGAACCCAGATTTACCCAGTTTTCCCTAATCTCAAACACGTTCACATTGTGTTAAAGAACCCAGATTTAGTAAAATATTAAAGAAAAAGAACCCAAATTTACTTACAGAAAAAGAAGTTGATTCATTGATATGTTTCGTTCGGGATGATCTAGAAAACAAGATTGAACCAAACCCCAAATCAACCCGCAGAATCAAAAAAACCAAACCCAAAATCAAGATCTAGCTTCGGCCTCTCCGTCCATGGCGATCTCCGTCCTCGGTTCCCCCACCAGCACCGATCATTGTCTCCTCTGTGTATACACACAAATCTGTGTGTATACATAGATCTGTTCTTTTCTCTTTTTTTCTTCTTCTCTTCTTCCTCATTCTCTCATTCTTTTCTCCTTCTTCTCTTCTTCTTCTTCTGTCTGTTTCAGAGAGAAAACAAAAGGGGAAGAAGGAAAAAAAAAAACTGCCATAACGACGTCGTTTTGGATAGTCGAGCCTTTCTTTTCTCCTTCTCTCTTTCTCCTTCTCTCCTTGTTTTCTCTTCTTCTGTCTGTTTCAGAGAGAAAACAAAAGGGGAAGAAGGAAAAAAAAAAAACTGCCATAACGACGTCGTTTTGGATAGTCGAGCCATTCGGGCCAATTTTTTCAAGCTACCAAGCTTTATTCATGAAATAATTGATTCACTTTCATGGTATTTTAAAAATAGGAAATTACTCACTGGTGGTATGTCAAAAAATATATTATTAAAATTTGATAAATTTTATATATATTAATAATTAAAATCATAATTATAATATTGAAGGGTGTATTTTTTTTGTAGGCCCCCATTTGTAATTAAAATATATGTATTTTTTTTGTAGGCCTCCATTTTTATATATGTCAAAAAATAGGAAATTACTCACCTTCATGAAACAATTTTTTTCCAAGCCCCCATTTGTAATTTTTTAAATTACACGAGACAATCTGTACTTTAAACAAATTTGGAAAGGTGCATTTGTAATTTACCCTTAATTATGATATTGAAATTTTTTACAAAAATATTTTACATAAATTTTTATGATTGACTTTGAGAAAGATAAAAAAATAATATTATAAATTGAAAAAGTATAGAAAATTTAAAACCTTGAGAATTTATGGCAGTGGCCTAATGATGGACGGGATGGAACCAATGATATTAATTGCGAAAAAAAAAAACACCACCAAAAGTGTGCGAGAGTGGGGCTCATTAGAAAATATTGTGGGTAACGGGTATATTATTACAATAGTGTTATAATAATTATATTTTTATATTTTATTTAATTTATGTAAATTTAGTAATTCTGTCTTCAGATATACTTTTACAAAAGAGTATGAAAGTGATTGAAAATTATGCATCACTTGAGATTTTTGAGAGGGCATGAAATAACGGTCTCACTAGGTAGCTCGAGAAAGTTGGGACTCGAGTGGTCTGACTTTGACTTTTCACCTCTCTCTCCCCTTTTCCTCCGTCCTCTATT